CGTAGGGCTGGTTGGGTCGGTTGGGGTCGTAGGGCTGGCCGCTGTGGTAGGGCTGGTTGGGTCGGCTAGGGTCGTAGGGCTGGTTGGGTCGGTTGGGGTCGTAGGGTCGGCTCGGGTCGTTGAACACACTGCCGGGTCCAGGGTAGCCGCCGACACCGCCGTTCATGTTGTATCCGTTGTTGTAGTAGTTGTCGGTGAACTGGGCCGTGTTGAGGTCGAAGATGACCAGCTTGGGCGGGCAGCGGTTCTCCTGGGTCCTGCCCTTGACGTTGACTCGGCCAGAGTCCAGCACCCACATCCTGCCCTCGCTGTCGATCTCGAAGCCGTGCACGTTCTGCAGGGCGGAGCAGTTGCCCAGCTCCTGCCACTCCCACGACGGGAAGGGGTCCAGGCGGGGCGAGTTGGAGCCGCCGCGGGGCTGCGCGGGCACCGAGTTGAGGGTGGAGGGCACGCCCTCCTTCATGCGGGGCACGGACAGGAACATGCGGTCCCGCCACACCTTGATGCCGCCCAGGGCGTTGTTCTCCGGGATGTACTGGGACGCCCGCAGCGCCGCCGCCTTGAGGTTCTCATCAGGCCACGCGTAGTCGATCTTGAACCACTCGTACACGGCGCGGAAGACGTCGTTGCCGCCCGGGTAGCCGGGGACGCCGTTGGCCGAGCTCAGGCCCGGTTGGTACGGGGTGTTGTTGTAGGCGCCGTAGGCACCACCGGGGGGCGGGTACCCGCCGGGTGGCAGCGCCCCGGGCTGGCCGTAGGGCGGCGGCGGGTACTGCTGCGGCTGGGCGTTGCCCGACACCAACGCGGCCGTCGCGGCCAACAGCGCGAACGCGAACCACATCCTCGCGTTAGGGAATTCAACGCACGACTGGAGAGCCCGTCCGCCGCCAGCCCTCTAGCCTCGCCGCGGCGACTGCTGCTGGCCCGGCCGCCCGCCGCGGCAGGTGGGGGGCGGGGCGGGGCAGGGCGGGCGTAGCGAGGGGCCCAGTGGGAGGGGCGGGAGGGGCGGCCAGGTAGGCGCTGCGCCCGCCGGACGGACGGACAACCGCCGCCTTGCCTCCCCCCTCCCCCTCAACCCACTCCACGCAACGGCGGGAACGGGGTGAGGCGGAGAGGGAAGGGTGACGCGGATGGGTCGGGCCCGTCTCTCTGTCTCTCTCTCTCCAAGAAAGAAGCGAGCGATAGGCTACCGCTGCGCATCTTTCCTTCTTCCTCTCTTTTGTTGGGAGAATTTAGAAATAAGCACTTGTTCGAGTGAAACCGGTGGAAGCCGGGTGACTGCAGACGGCGACGATGGCCTGGCGCTGGGAAGTCTCCAGAAATCACACCAACCCCGCGCCGCCGAAAAGCAACAGCGTTCGATGCGTTGCGGCGACTCCCCGATGCGAACAGAATCAATCGGTGCCCCGCCTATCTCCACCGATCGACCTTTAGTAATGAGACCCTAATGGGTACCGGAAAGGGGTCCGTCGGTGCTGCATGCGGTCCTAATCACAGGGATAGGCCCGGGGAGCGTCTCGACGCCCATGGGGTGGAGCTGGAACGGACTGAGAAGGCGAGGGAGGTCTTCCGTTTGGCGACGCTTCGCTTGGTGGTGGTCGTGCCTGCTGACCTGCTTGACCACCTGACGCGCCGGCTTCCTAGCCTCGCGCAGGGCTCTCGTGGTTCAGCCGGCAGACCAAAATCTAAATTCGCTGGTCCACAGGAGACACTTTCAACCTTGAGAAAATTAAAACTGATTGCGCCCAGCATCAGCACCCCCTCCTCCCGCCGCTTTTTGGTGTCCAAATATAGTAAATGACATGGACTGGACATGGCTCAGCCCCGAGCCGAATGTTTGCAAGTGTCTCTGTGCGCATGGGGTATGTGCGCGCGGGGTAACGTCAGTGCTTCCTCCACTTTGCCGGCCAGAGCAAGTGTTCCGGGGAAAAGAATTCTCAATTGCTACACTTGAGCTTTGTTTAATTTCAGTTGTAACGTCATTCATTTTCGGTTTCAATCTAACTAGCTACCTACACTTCAGATTGGGGGGGAAGATCAGCAACCACACATCCATATTTGATTGATAATAAGAAACTGCTCACCACAGTATACATAATATTTAGGATTTTTTTCAGAAT